ATATTATATTTACATGTAATCTACATATATATACGTATAGAAGTATCGCACATTTCTATGCAGTTTCCACTTATGCAGTTTTCCATAATGTACATATATAGATATATCATGGTGGAGTAGAAATATTTTCTTCCTTTCTCTTTCTTTAAAATTAAATTTTATCTTACATCACAAAAATTGAAAATTTGTTATTTTTTTTCAACAGAAATTAAAAAATTATTTATAGCATAAGTCTTGAAATAACAATAATGCACGCAGCAACATATCCTTTCACTTTCTTTCTTTTTTTAATACTACGTTTTAAACACATTAAAATATTTTTAACATTTAACATGTCTCTTTCGTACTTCCGAGCTACATAGATCTCTGATGGTTAAGAGTTGGCAGGAAATCGATATCTAATCTCTATTTCAAGAGTGTCATGTCTCTTAAATGGATTCCAAACAAACTTTGAATATTTGCTAAACATTAATTAACATTTAACATGCCCTTTTACTATTTTAACGTTTAACAGTTCACGGTAAAAATAAAACCATTATAGTTATATCAGTCATTACATATAGGTGTATAAAAGGTTAAAAAAATTGTTTTTATGAAACATTTATATATAAAAAAAAAGAGGAATTTAAGCATAAATTTTAAAACCCTTTTTAACAGTATAATTCTTGGCAAACTGATTTTCTATAACATCAATTTTCATCGATATGTACATCACGTAACAAATAAAATTTTGCTGAACTGCATTGACCTAGTTGATTAAAAATTTATCGAAAACAACAGGTCACTCAAATTGCCTACGAATACTTCATCCAATAAAAGCAATAAAAAATATATTGAGAAAAAAATACCAAATATGGAGTAGACACACCATTTACATTTTATTTTATTAAACATTTGTTTTTTAATTTAACCGCTGAATATTTGTTTATTTGAAATTGTTGTATCGTCTATATATGTGAAAAATATTTATTAGATTTGAAAGATATATATTGGTAAAATATACGAAATTCTATAAAAATATCAAATATTAAAAATATTCAAAATTGACAAATTTACACCTGAAAAAAAAAGAATTTAAACATAAAATATTTTTAAAATTTTACAAATTTTAGTTTTCGTTATGTATTAAAATATTACGTTATTATAAAATAAGTTATAAATTCTAATCGGCATTAAAGATAATATGAATATTAAAACGAATATTAAACATTATCAAATTTTCGAAATTTTGTAACTAAACTAGGCATAAAAAGATATCTTCAGAAAATAATCTGTACAATAACAAAAATAACCAGAACATCGTTTAGTATTAATAAATTTTCATTTGACCTAATTTAGTAACATTTAATATAGTTAGCGTACAAGTTCTGTTTATAAAATATTATAATATTTTATGTTAACAATGTGTCCCACATTTGATATTTTTATTTTACGTTGCTGTGGCACAACTTGTAAGGATCTATTATTCTTTTATTCTTTTATTAAAATATTATATGAAGCAGCTCAGTAAATAATCAGAAATTTAGATCAGTATGTTTTATCGTAACCATAGTTATAATAATTAACGATAACACAAAATTGATGAATATAATTCATCACAAGTAATCATGCCAATAAGAGCCGATACATGCTGTTAGTGTGTATATATTTATTCAAGTATATATAAAAGATTAATTACGTAAACGTTTCGATCCTTTCTTTAGGATCATTTTCAATGCTATTCAAATTAACGTTTTCGTCACAAATATCAAGAATTAAGAATTAAAACTAGTCGCTTTTTTATATTATATAGTTTCTACAGATTATCAATAGATTAAGCCGTAATGCGTTCCTTCGTCCAACATAGATCTCCATAAAATTGACAGATCAACTAAATAATAAATTAATTACATATATAAGTAAGTAAAGTATAGGTTATATTTTAACAAATTTATATATGTTAAGTTATGTTAGACTGTTGTTGTCCGTTCGACATGTGGATCTCGTGTAAGGATACGATAAACAATCGATGTGTTTTTTGGGCGAAATAATTGCTGTGGAGAGGGAGAAAATCTCACGTTGTAAATAATATATCTGTGCAGAATCTAACAAATTAGTATCATTTTTTAAATCTATCTTTTATATATATACTTGAATAAATACATACACACCAACAGCATGTGTCGGCTTTAATTGGCATGATTGATGAACTTGTGAATAATTTTTTATTCGCTAGAGTCTAGATCTCATATTATGATGAATATAATTATATGATAAATATTTAGGCTTTCTGGCATTATTTATCGTCAACATCATCAATTAACAATGAGGTATTATAAAATTAGTGAATATAATTATACAATTAATTATATTGCAATAGTATCATATGAATACTCCTAGTTTTAGATAAAAATATACATAATCTTTAGTATATAAGTAATAAATCAGTCAAAATATATTTATGCAGAATGAAGAGTTTGAACGAATAATCAAAAAATTCACATTGCTATCGAAAATATAAAATGTACTGAATATATTTAAAAACAATTTAAAAAAATGTAACATACATGTTCTAGATTTTTAGAATTTAAACAACTGATAAACAACAGTTAAAAGAAAATTTATTTTATATTTTCGATAGGAACGAGATTAATTCTATTCCGTTTTAAGTTTAATTCTGCATATTATTGTAGCTTTATGTAAGATAGGCGCATTAGCAATAAATGAATTTATTTGTATTTATAAAACATATAAATTTATAATTAAAAAATTATAGTTTGCTTACACAAGAATCATAAAAACAGATAAAAGTAAAATAAAATATGTTCTATTTTTTGTTGTATTTTTTTTTGAGATATTATATACGCGAGCAAGTTTTTTAGTTATTATATAACTTAAATCAATTAATTTATTGGATTAGTATTAATTTTTTCAGTTACTTCGAAATCTCTCTTGCGTTATTTTCGTCATTTTGTACAAATATATTTTTTTAGAAATTATCTAAAAATAAATAAATTGATAACTTTAATTTAACTCAATTGCCGATGCGTCTACCATAATATATAATACTTTTTAAATCGGAAGCGATATGAATGGCAGAAGTCTACCCAGAAGAGTAAGACTTATATTGGTCAAAGCCATAACAGTTACCTTTACAACTCTGCACCCTGTAGACAATAATACACCGTGTATAACAATACACACAACATACAAACATGTATGCGAAGCAGTCAAATTCTTCGACTAAATTAGGAACGATATCTTTCGATATGATAATAACTATCGAAATATTTGATACAGCTCAGCGTTGTGCGATATAAATAAATATAATCGAATACAAATATTCTAGAATAATAATAAACTAGACTAATATATAAATATTGTATAAAATATATAATTACATTGTTGCTTTATATTTAATATTTTTTAGAACATCAGTTATCTATCGGATCAGTCTATTTACATTTATGAGATACGCGTTCTTAACTTTCGAGACCTTGCATTTATATATATATATATAATTATAAAATTAAACGTCACAATGCAAAAAATAAATAAAAATA